CTCTCCGACAGAACTCGACGGGTCCCGAAAGCCGAAGTTGAACGATGAGGGGGATAGCCTGGGAGCTTCGCGAGGGAGACGACCGGCGAAGACCTGCAAGTGATGGCCGACGATGATCGTTGCACGATGATGGTGGCGGCCTGATGAATTAAAACGAGGAAAGATTCTATCTTCTCTGCTGCCTGCGATTAACGTACGAGAGAGAGAGAAGATGATGGCTACGGGAGTTGTTGAGGGTTTGAGCGAGAGAGATTATGACTGCGGAGTAAAATTTATCTGCTGAGCTAAGGGACTATTCCCACATATTTATAGATGTAGGGTTTGATTTCTTAACCCTCAAGACACAACATACACGCACGAGGGAAAGGAAACCGGGTCGGCTGACCGGGTTTGCGGCTCGCGAGCAGACCGGGTTCGATCGCTTGATTCCGAAAATTTAAACGAAACATATAATTATAATACCTATATAATATATATATATATAAATTAATTAGTATTTAGAAAAGTATTATTAGCACTAATATTAACAATGAAAATAATTAAAATAAACAATTAAGCATTTTCTATAAATAATTATAATAAGACAATTAGACAAGCAATAATAATAATAATAACAATAATAATAATAATAATAATAATAATAATAATAATAATAATAATAATAATAATAATAATAATAAAGACAATTAATAATAACAATAATCAATAATTATTCCCAAATAGTCCACAAACGAACGGGGTATTACAGTGGACTTCGTCGAGTTGCAGGTCGAGCGAGACCTTACCTATGAATGGGTACCGGTATTCGTACTGGACTGGAAGGTTCATCAGCTGAGGACCCAGGCAGTCGATCTCGTTGAGGTGCAATGGAGTCGGCACGGCAAGTCCGAGGTGACTGGGGACACTGAAACCCGAACTACGAGGAGATATCTGAACTTCATGTTTGATGTTGTATGTTAGAGTTTGGATGTTTTTAGTTTCGAATTCTGAGGACGGAATTCCTTTTAAGGTGGGTAGACTGTAATGCCCCGTTTATTTGTAAAATATTTGGGATTATTTGTTTATTTACTTATTTCATTATTATTATTATTATTATTATTATTATTATTATTATTATTATTATTATTATTATTATTATTATTATTATTATTATTATTATTATTATTATTATTTGTCTAATTGTCTAATTGTCAAATTGATTATTGTTATTTATATTAAATGTCAAATTGCCTAATTATCTAAATTATTACTACTATTATGATTATGTGATTAAATGTTTATTATTAATAAATATTATTATGTGTATAAATATATATATTGTCGGCTTGATTTGTTTTAAATTTTCCCGAGACTGATTATTATCCATATTTTCAGCTTTTTAATTCGGCTCTTTGATCATATACAAACCGGCCTCATTGATCATTTTAAACGGCTCTTTTAAGTCGATGGCTTCCGTTATTTTTTTTATTAATTTGATTCAAATTTTCCTATGTGCATTTAGTGGGATTTAGTGAGATTTTTGACAGCCTTGTAACCAAATTTTCCAGCCCTAAATCGCGCACTAAAAACCTTCCTTCATTGAGTAGGAATAATATTATTCTATCCCTAAGATTCTGTTTTCTTTCTCTTCAAGAAAAACCGTTTCCTCGCTTTTTCTTCAGCTATCCAGAAGTTTTTTTTTTTTTTTCCTCGTACAAAACATCACTCTTTTCAGCAAATATCAACCATTAACCGTCGGATATGTCAGAGTTTTATTCGATCGAATCGTCCATCTAGATTGCCGGCGAGTTCCCTCCTCGCAAGCCCGATGTCTGACCTGCGTGACTAGCTTTCCCCGGCAAACCTGTCCATCGCCATCATCATCCATTACAAGCAGCAACACCGCACCCCCATTGCTGCAGTTCGAGTTCCGTCGAGTCCCGCGGAGTGCCGAACGTCGCCGTCTGATCCCGCGTATTGCTGCCCGGCCCCGCTGATCACTCGCACCACCCGTCGGTGAGCCGAAGCTTCATCGTTGAGCCCCGTCGGTGCATTCGTGAAGCCGCTTCAGCCCGTTTTGATTCTTTCATTCGAACGATTCCCGAGAACGGTACCTAGGCTCGAACCCCATTTCGTTTGATGTGGTGATTGGTGCTATTGTGTTATATTACTTGCTCAGTTGCTGAACGTGAGAGTTACGAGTTAATTACGTGCCTTAGATGTTTTATTGAGCCATATATTGGTCTTACATGCGTTTTGGATATCAAAGTGATTGTCGTCACTTTGGTTTATTGTCGAACTGAGTTTCGAGTGGTATTTTTCCTGTAAAGCTTGGAGTTATAGGTACTTAGAGTTGTCCTTGAGTTATTAGTTTTAATTTGAGTTCGTTTCGATGTGTATATGTCGAATTATGAATTTTCTAATCCGAGCATGCTGCTGAATCGTAATTAATTCGTGATAAATCGTGTAATAGTTTGAAGGCCATGAAATTTTATATGTGATGTTCTGTGATGATTTTGTAAGTCGTGTAAAAGTTTCATGTAGAAACTCCATCTGTAGCTATTTTAATTAATTGAATCGGTTTCTGGTCAGAATTTTTTAAAATTCATTTAAAATCGTACACTAAGTATTTTGAGCTGAAACTTTGAGGAGTATTTTATTTTGTGGTAATATGTGTTGTGTCAAAAGTTTAAACTAAAATTCGAAGTGTAACTTCATGAACTATTAATGTCGGGTTTTGACACTGTTTTTTCTTAAATTATTTAAAAATGCTCCCATATGAATTTAGGGCTGAAACTTGGTGAGATTATGTGCTCTTGTATGCCTTGTGATGTGGTAAAGTTTCAGGTTATTTGGTTGTGTCTAACTCTGGATTCGGAATTTTGTTTATTTTAGAGTCTTAATGCTCGGTTATCCGTTGTTTAGGTTCGGATTGGATTTTATTGATGTTGGCATAATTTATGTGTTTTACCTGAGGTATATATGTTGTGTTCAAGTCTAGTAGTCGCTCCAAAGTACTTAACTCGGTCAAGGAATCCACGAGTCACTTAGTCGATATGATTTCGACTAAGTATATGTGCTTTGTGTGTTGTCTTGGATTGGATAGTCTGTTGATAGGCTATTATAATTGTTGTAGGTTCATCGAGCTGAACTTTTGCCATTGTTCCTTCAACCCTGTGTTTGGCTATATCTCGGTATCCAGGTGGGTTATTCAAAATTTGTCTATGCCTTGAATGATAATTGCTTTATTTATGTGGGTATGATCAATGTATGCATGTGAGAATGTAACCTTCGATGTGAGCTGTACCGGCCGTCGAATGGTTATCCCCGTAGCTATAGAACGTACCCCGCAAGGGTAATCTGCACGTTTGTCCTTTGCTAAGGACCACGTCATTCGTAAGACCTTGGCAATGTGCCCTGGCCGGTGATGGATATCCTGTCCAAGCACTAGGTGCGTGTTGTGACGGTTGAGCCTCCTGCTGTTTGGGCACCCCATTTATGTTCGCCGAAAGGCATACGAGCAGCAGTCTATTGTTATAGGTGTGCACATGAGAATTACTTTGGTTAGGAGATGGGATATTTATTGACTATGTTCATACAGCGACCATGCCATTTAATTTCTCGTACTATATTATTGTTCATGTGCATAGTAGTGAGCACTACAGTTCAACGTGCTCACTCCCACCTGCTCTTCATGGATGCAGGTTAAGCAGGTGTTGGCTGACGAGACAGAGACGAGTGGTGTTGATCTTTGACTGACTTGATTTAGTTTATTCCGCATGCTAGTAGACTTGGGTTTATTTATACTTATTTATGACTTGGGAACTTTGGTATTTATGATTTATCACTTTGGAATTCTGAGAACTTTGGATTGGGAGATGTTCCCTTATGAACAATTTGGATGAACTTGAGATTTATGAAAACATTTGATTTATGATTTACGTTATTTATGTGATTTAGTTCGAGTAGCGCCACTGATTTATGAAAAGAAATCTAAAAAATTTAAGTTGACTTTTGACTTTCGTCAAAATAAAAGTGGGGCGTTACATCATCATAAGGCCAAGGACTCATAAATTTTCTGTAATCCACAGCCCTAACACGATTTTAATCAGGGTTCATCAAGGACACACTAATATCCCTTCAAACATGCATAATAATGTGGTTCGGAGGCTTATTTCCTCAAAAAAATAGAGCTCTAGATGACCGAGCACCCTTACTAATTTTAAGAACTTGTTTTAACCTCATATTAATCATGATTTATAAGGCTTTTTAAGCTCAAGAACTCGGCCTAAACATGCATGCAACGAAAAATACGATTTTAAGGCCTTAAGCTTCAAAAATCCGAATCCCTCATTCTACCAGAGAAAAACTTGATATCTCTACATGATAAATCTTAAAATATCATGTTATAGCTAGGATAAAAAGATAGCACGAGCTAACCTTCACTGAAGTCGAAAATGAGACTCAAGCCCTTAACTCGGGTCTCCTCGGGTAGCTATAGGTCGTGGCTTGACTCGGTGGCCTTTTGGTTGGGGATGATGGCTTCTCTAAACTCCTTATACTCCCAGAGATGATATGAACTTAGTTTGGTGCAGCAAAACTTGGTTAGAACAAGAGATAGCTCAATGCTTGCTTCTCTTCGCACTAGCAATGCTATACTCTTATCTCTCGGCTGTCTCTCCTATTTCTCTCTATAAACTCGAAAATACTAAGTGTCCAACACCTATTCTCAGCTGAGGAAGTGAGGCTTAAGAGGAGGTCATGGGCGGAGAAACCTATGCAAGCAAATATGGACAAATTCCCTTTTCCAAAGCACATGGGACTTTTGGGGGCCTTGGGGCACGACTTGGCTGGTCTTGGCAGAGGTTTTTGGCTGCATTTGGAAGGAATATTGGTAGGGAATATGGCTGGTCAAGTCCCAATGCACTAGGGGACAAAAGGTCCATTAAAAATAAGGCTACCACATGCTCCCAACTAGTATTAGTGCTATTTTATTAACCTTAGTTATCCTTAAAGCTAACCTTGGCTTAAATAACTCCTAATCCACTTATTAATACATGCATGAATGTGGACTTGGAGAAAGATGGGTCGAAACTCAAGAAAATGGCTTTGGGAGGTGGCTGGCGCTGGCTGGGCGCGTGTTGTGCGCTGTCCGCGCGCGTGATACGGAAGCGGTCCTCGGAGCCGAAGGATGTGAAGGATGGTCGGGCATGACCGACTGGTGAATAGGCAAAAGACGCGCATCGGGTGGTGATGCGCGGGCATTGGGCATACACGGGCGCACAGGGGCGCTGGACGAACGCAGCATGCACGAGGGTGGCCGGGAGGCGCTGGCGATAGGCAGCAAAGACGCGGGGCGCGGATGGCGCGCAGGTGAGTGGCACGCGAGCGGAGTCCTCGACCGCATAGGAGAGTCGGGCACGTGACAGCACGCGCGCGAGGAGATTGGAAGGCAGGGGGCGCGCGTACTAGCACGCGAGTGCAACCTGAGCGAGGACGTCCTAATTCGAGCGGGCATAGGGGAGGCTGGCGCACACGCGTGAGAGGAAGGCGGCGGATGCTGGGCGCGCGAGAACACAGGGCGTGCAGAGCGGACAAACGAGGCCTAGTCTGCGCGGGACTAGGCAAGGCAATGGCGGCGCATGCGTACATGGCAAGGCGCGTGCGCGAGAAACCGCGAACGACTAAGATTAGGCAACGCGGAGGCGACGCGCGAACTTAGGGTGCATGACTTGGAGCTCAAGACTTTGGGTTGGAGTGCAAGTCAAGCAAGAATAATTATAGTAGTATTAGAATTTTATTACCATGTTTCTTTTCATTATAGAATAGGAGATCTAATTAGCTTAGGCCTAGATTTATTTTGTGCACCTATAAATAGGGGTATCCCATCATTGTTTTAGAGGAAGAGAATTGATGAGTTGAATAGAAAAGAACGATTGTTCAAACCGTGTGTTAAGATTCCTGAGAGTTTGATCATGCAATCGAATTAGTGAGGCTAAGGCCCGAGCTAGTTCAAAATCGAGGGAGCGGGGCTAATTACCGAGTGAACTCAAGTATCATGAGAGAGTTAGGCTAATAACCGAGTCGATCACAACTATCAGTCGAGGGCAAGTCGTGGCGAGGCTTGGTTCGAGGAGAGTCGAGTGGAACAAAACACACGATCCTTCATCATTGGTGCTTTCATTGAGAGTGATTGATTGTGTGTTTCATTAAACTTTTCCTATCCCATTCTTTTTTCTTTTGTCCAATTTTTTTCCCCCTCTTGTTCGAATTTTTTCGAATTTTTCTTCTTCTTTTTTGAAAAATTTTCAAGAGTATCAAATAAAAAAAGTTAGTCATGACGAATCGTGAGAGGTTCGATATGCTTGAGGAAAGCGTGAGGTCCCTTGGCAACGGACAACACCTGGTCAATGAAAACATGGCGAAGCTGGAGCTCATGATACACGACTTGGCGGGACAGCTCGAGAGAGTCAACCACCATATGCATAGGAGCCGCACATCAAGATCAACCATGGCGGGAACAGGGAGTTCGACATCTAGTCGCGATGAAGACGACGAACGGTCGCGGGCGACGCGCGCGACGTGCACGACCCGACAACAGGGCGATCGCAGGACACACGGCGAAAGGCGACACCAGGAAGCACGTGCGCATGCACGCCCGAAGATAACGATGCCGACGTTCGAAGGAATAGATCTGGATGCTTGGTTAATTCGTGCCATGCAATTTTTCGAGATCAATGAGGTACACAAGTCTGAAAGAGTTCAAATTGTTGTCTACTACTTAGATGGTGAAGCCAACACTTGGTGGCAATGGGTGTCACATGTCCATAAGAACAAAGGCGAGCAAATCCGATGGAGAGATTTTGAGAAGGAGCTGATTGCCAGGTTTGGGTCTAGTGATTATTTCGATTATGATGAGGCGTTGACAAGGATTCACCAAACCGGTAGTCTACTCGACTATCAAAAGGAGTTTGAGAGGATTGTAAGCCGGGTACGTGACTGGCCCGAGAGTGCACTTGTTGGTGTGTTTGTTGCAGGCTTAAAAGTTGAGTTGGCCGCAGAGGTACATCTGGATAGGCCAAGGTCGACAAGGGCTGCGATAGAGCCGCACGGTTGCATGAAGACCACTTCGCAGCCATGCGCAAGGCAACACGGGGCGACATCCGCACGGAACCGAGATGCGTAAGCACGGTAACCGACAAGGCGCCCCCACGGGTTGAGGTCAAACCAATAGTCGGCGAAGGTAAAGAAGTATTTCTGTTGGAAATTGGAGAGGAATATGAGGAAGAAAAGCCACAGGAGGAGTCCTTGTTACATGTGGTTAAATGCAAAAAGCGTGGTCCTAAGATGATCACGTTCACGGCTGAAATCAAAGATATACTGCTTGAGGTACTGCTGGATAGTGGGTCGAGCTTAAATTTTATCGACGAAGGAATAGCCAGGAGGCTGAAGTTGGAACCCACTAAGGTTAAGAGGTTTGGAGTCAAAGTGGCCAATGGACATGAATTATAAGGTGATCAATTGTTTAAGAAGGTTCCAATTATGGCGCAGGATCGAGAGTTAGAAATTGACCTCTACGCCTTACCGCTTAAAGCAACGGATATCGTGTTGGGAGGGCAGTGGCTCGAAACACTTGGGCCCATTACAACCGACTATAGGCGAGGAAAGATGGAGTTTGGAAGATCAGGGAAACGCATTAAGTTGAGAATCGAAGATCAAGGTGATTCCTCCATTAAAGAAGATGATAGTGATGTGGAAGTGCTGAACTATCTTATCCTTGAGGCCAAGGAAAGTCTGGAAGAGGAGGGGAATGATACGGAAGCGGTCATCAGAGCCAAAGGATGTGAAGATGGTCGGGCATGACTAATGGGCGAATAGGCAAAAGGCGCGCATAAGGCAGTGATACGCAGGCATTGGGCGTACACGGGCGCACAAGGGCGCTGGACGAGCGCAGCATGCGCGAGGGTGGCCGGGACGCGCTGGCGATAGGCAGCGAAGACGCGGGGCGCAGATGGCGCGTAGGTGAGTGGCACGCGAGTGGAGTCCTCGACCGCATAGGAGAGCCGGGCGCGCGACATCACGCGCGCGAGGAGATCGGAAGGCAGGGGGCGCGCGTACTAGCGCGCGAGTGCGACGCGAGCAAAGACGTCCTAAGTCGAGCGGGCATAGGGGAGGCTGGCACACACGCGTAAAAGGAAGGCGGCGGATGTTGGGCGCGCGAGACCACAGGCGCGTGCAGAGCGGACGAACGAGGCCTAGTCCGCATGGGACTAGGCAAGGCAATGGCGGCGCATGCGTACATGGCAAGGCGCGCGCGCGAGAAACCGCGTGCGACTAAGATTAGGCAACGCGGAGGCGGCGCGCAACCAAGGGTGGTTAGGGTTTGGCATGCGCGGGTGTGAGACGGCCGAGGGTATTTAGGGCGCATGACTTGGAGCTCAAGACTTTGGGTTGGAGTGCAAGTCAAGCAAGAATAATTATAGTAGTATTAGGATTTTATTACAATGTTGCTTTTCATTATAGAATTAGGAGAACTAATTAGCTTAGGCCTAGATTTATTTTATGCACCTATAAATAGGGGTATCCCATCATTGTTTTAGAGGAAGAGAATTAATGAGTTGAATAGAAAAGAACGTTTGTTCAAACCGTGTGTTAGGATTCATGAGAGTTCGATCATGCAATCGAATTAGTGAGGCTAAGACCCGAGCTAGTTCAAAATCGAGGTAGCGAAGCTAATTACCGAGTGAACTCAAGTATCGTGAGAGATTTAGGCTAATAACCGAGTCGATCACAACTATCAGTCGATGGCGAGTCGTGGCGAGGCTTGGTTCGAGGCGAGTCGAGTGGAACAAAACACACGATCCTTCATCAGCGCGCTGCTATGCACTGGGGTGCTGGCGTGCGCGCTGGGGCGTTGGCATGCGCGCTGGGGCGCTAGGCTGCGTGCTGGCAGTAGTGTAGGACCGACCGATTTTAAAATTCACTCGATCAATCAACTTGAAATTTTTACACAGTAATATGGACCCAGAAACACAGGTTTTAACAAAGTCCTAACCTCAGGACATCAATTTAACCAACTGAACACATTTAGGCAAAACATCGATATAAAACCGAACTTACAAGTTCTCTGGGAAATCCTTGTACTTTTTCAATGAATTTTGGACACAACATACATTGTACCAGAATAATGACATGCACCAAAAATCACGTCAAAATACCAAGTACTTGATTTTTAATGATTTTTTTTTGAAGTTTGTGCCCAGAATAAAAAATCGGTATTTGACATAGCTTCACAAATAATTTTGACCTGAAACTTTTACACTACAACATATACCAACAGAGGATCATACAGGTCAAATTTCGTGCCAATCGGACAAACACACGATTTATGATGATTTTAATAAAATTCAGCAGCAAGACCCGATTAAAAATTGCATAAATGACAACCTATCCATCAGTTCCGTCCTAGGACTTCATCATAAGGCCAAGGACTCATAAATGCTCCATAATCCACAGCCCTAACACGATTTTAACGAGGGTTCATCAAGGACACACTAATATCCCTTCAAACATGCATAATAATGTAGTTCGGAGGCTTATTTCCTCGAAAAAAAATAGAGCTCTAGATGACCAAGCACCCTTACGTATTTTAAGAACCTGCTTTAACCACATATTACTGATGATTTATAAAGATTTTTAAGCTCAAGAACTCGGCCTAAACATGCATGCAACGAAAAATACGATTTTAAGGCCTTAAGCTTCAAAAATCCGAATCTCTCATTCTACCCGAGCAAAACTTGATTTTTCTATATGATAAATCTTAAAATATCATGTTATAACTAGGATAATAAGATAGCATGAGCTAACCTTCACTGAAGTCGAAAATGAGACTCAAGCCCTTAACTCGGGTCTCCTCAGGTAGCTATAGGCCGTGGCTTGACTCGGTGGCCTTTGGTTGGAGATGATGTCTTCTCTAAACTTCTTATACTTCCAGAGATGATATGAACTTAGCTTGGTGCAGCAAAACTTGGTTAGAACAAGAGATAGCTCGGTGCTTGCTTCTCTTTGCACTAGCAATGCTATACTCTTATCTCTCGGCTATCTCTCCTATTTCTCTCTGTAAACTCGAAAATACTAAGTGTCCAACACCTATTCTCAGCTGAGGAAGTGAGGCTTAAGAGGAGGTCATGGGCGGAGAAACCTATGCAAGCAAATGTGGACAAATTCCCTTTTCCAATGCACATGGGACTTTGGGGGGCCTTGGGGCACGACTTGGCTGGTCTTGGCAGAGGTTTTTGGCTGCATTTGGAAGGAATATTGGTAGGGAATATGGCTGGTCAAGTCCCAATGCACTAGGGGACAAAAGGTCCATTAAAAATAAGGCTACCACATGCTCCTAACTAGTGTTAGTGCTATTTTATTAACCTTAATCATCCTTAAGGCTAACCTTAGCTTAAATAACTCCTAATCCACCTATTAATACATGCATGAATGTGGACTTGGAGAAAGATGGGTCGAAACTCAAGAAAATGGCTTTGGGAGGTGGCTGGCGCTGGCTGGGCGCGCATTGTGCGCTGTCCGCGCGCGTGATACGGAAGCGGTCCTCGGAGCCTAAGGATGTGAAGGATGGTCGGGCATGACCGACGGGCGAATAGTCAAAAGGCGCGCATCGGGCAGTGATGCG